TATATGAGGAATGATATTATCATAATCTCAGTGCATTGCACTATTTTCCTGAGAGACTGAATAAGCCAAATACTATTATGATATACATACATAGTGTGCCAATATGGAAAGCTGCCACATGGTCACTAATCACATCTATAGTGTTGGATAATTATTGTTTCTCTATGTCTTTGTCAGTGGAAGTATAACTCTTTCCATGTGTTTAAGTGCTTAGTGAAGTATTTTGGTAGGCTTTTTGGCTGTTAATTCAAAAGTCAGTTGCTGTTTTCTAAAAACAGCTACTAAGATATGGAAACCAAAAGCTTGTCAATTCCACAGTGTTTCTTTGATATCTGTTAATGTATATCTACAAAAAAAAGAAGGAATACAAGACCATTATCAGTCTGCTGCATCCCCAATAAAGTGAAAATATCATCATAGAACTTGGAATCCTGTCAAACATTGTCAACAGATATCCTAAAATGATAGCAATAAAATAAGGAAAAGAAACTTTTAGCAGAGTATCCTAGTATAAGAAACCTCCTATCACACTCACGCAACAAATCTCTATAATCAACTTTATTGGTGAATGTCTTAACATTCTGGAATAATGAAGTAGTGTTCAGGATTCAGGGTAAGCTGTATCCGTCTGTGTACCAGCAGGTTGGCAGCAACCATCTTTAAAGAAAGAAAATTGAGTAAGATTGAAAAAAAAAAAAAATTCACAAGTGGCTTTTAGTTGTTTTAGTTGTTGTAGACAGGATGGATGTTTTATGGAGGAAAGAAAATTAGAATAGCTAATTACATGAAAAAAATAAAGTTGTGTGCCCTATTATTGTGTAATAGGAAAGGTGGGCAATTATAATTCAAGATGGTGCTTTCTCTCACACAAGTACATCTTACCTTCAGTGACCTTAGTTATATGGACTAAGTCCATAGAGGATTGGCCACGATCTTTGCTGGAAGCCAATTTTGATCATGTATGAAGAAGTATATCCAAAGGATAGTCTGTATGTCTGGTATTCTAAACTGAATGTGGAAATCAAAGAAGGATGAATTAAATGTAGCACTCAGATTCTCAAGAATATTTATTTTTATATCTAGAAATTGTTTTAGGTTTAAGGAAAAAATAAGAAATGAGTTGAATATCAAACTTGTTGGTAAATGAGTGTTACATTTATATATATTTTTTTATGCAGTCATAGTATTATTTACATTTGTATATTCATAGTAGCTATTATTTTGGAATATACTGCACTTTTTGTTTTGACTTGTTAATGATGAAACTCTCTTGATACAGATGGTGCTGACCGCAACCGAGGCTGGAGTAGATGACACAGTCACACTGGAGGGAGGAAGTCTTATTAACTCAGCTTTAAATGAACCAGAGACAATTGTGCCACATCAAATACAAATCCCCAGCAAGAAACAGGTGAGAAAGAATAATAGAAAATCAAGCAATGTATGAAATAGTATCTATGACCTCATAAATAAGAGGTGTAGAGCTTGATGGTAGAGTGCTGACTTTTTATTGAGTTTTTATTGAGTACTGGGGTACTGGCAACAGCTTTTTGGAGTCAAAGTTGGGATAGAAAGGAACTGGCCACTCTGCAACATGACCTTGTGGCTTAATACACATCCCACTGTGAACTTGTCCCCTATATCCAATTGGATATAGGACCATATGAGTGATGTACTCTCTAAAATTTGTTATGATTTTGTTTATACTTTCATTGTACTTGCATGAAGTTGTAAGTTATTTATCAGTGGAATTTCTTTATTAAAAAAGTGTGTAATATTTCAGTAAGCTTGTTCACCTAGCCCTTTCAGGTTTTGGCCTCATGAAAACTATTTCTACCAAGTGCTCCATACCTTCAGAATCTAATACTCATTTAGCAATGAAATGGTGAAATGTATTTTTTATTATTACCATTATCAGATTCTGAATGTTGAAAATTGCACAATGTCACTTTATAACATCAAAATCTGATAGTGAAAAGCTGCTAAAACCACCACATTGCCTGAGCAGTAGTCTGTGCTCGCTACAGTTAAAGAGTTGTTTGTTAGGTCATGCACTGTTAGTTTGAGGATTTCAATGTTAACCTTCATTTGCAATCTCTTGGTTTTTTATTTACAAAGGTGTAAAAAAAGAAGCTTAGGTCAATTTTTGCTGACTGTCGTGCCAAACTTCCATACGACCTTGACTTGCATATCCTAAACCATAAACTATCAGTCTCTCATTGGCACCTGTAATCTAGTCCAGAACTATTGTTAACACTGTTGGTGTCTGTTTGGAATGGGTTGATATTTCTGTGCATGCATGTTTGCATGCATATGTGTGAGAGAGTAATTATCTGTACATAGATGTCTATATCATTTTGTTCAAATATCCTTTAAACATTTTAATTTTTTTGCAGATTCAGGCTGAGATGGAACCACCCATTGGGAAGGGGCCTTATACTTGTGAGTGTTGCAACCTAACCATTGAGAAATGGGCCCAGTATAAGAAACACGTAAAGAAACATTTAGAAGATAAACCATACCAGTGTTGTGACTGTGAGGCTTCGTTCAATGTACAAGTAAGTGCCCTGTTTTGCTCCTGATGTTGAATATAATGTACAGTACATTTGACAGTGGACCTCAGAATATGTGTTTCATGTTAACATGTATTTGTTTCACTTTTATAACAGTTTGATGTATTTATATCATGTATATAAAAACTTTAGGGGGAAGATTTTCTGATGTTCCCCTCCCCCCTTTCAGAAAAATTTGCATCTCCATGAGGCATTACACTCCACGGGTAAACTAGTATGTCCAGAGTGTGACAAAACCTTTAGACGTTTAGCTTCATTTAAAGCCCATCTGGCTGTTCATGAAGAGGATGAGACTGTTACATGCGAGATCTGCCAAGAGGAGTTCATATCTGTGGTAAGTTGCTCAAGTTCAAGTGATTCTCTACGGTGGTTACCATGTAGTATTGGGTAAAAAGGATACATTTGCTAATTTGTACATCATCTTAATATTTTTTAAAATTATAGAGTCAGCTAGAACCACACTACCAGCGGCACAGGGATGGTATAGATGCCCTAGGGGCACATAAGAAGTCAAGCCTGGACTGCAAAGAGTGCGGAGCAGAATTTACAAACCAAGGATTACTTAAGCATCATATGAAAGTCCATAAGAAGGTTAATGATTTTCCAATTTTGTTGCTTTTATGTCAAAAATATTTTTTGTCACATTTGTTGCTACTCTGATAATGTAAGGTATGTATAAGTTAGTTTGGAAGCATTTAGTGACATTTATGTTTTTATCTTCTGAGAACAGGTCAAGAAAATAACACAGACAAAACCAAGAAGAAGACTAGCAGATCGCTGCAAATTTGAGAACAAATGCCAAGAGTGTGGTAAGAACTTCATAAAACCCTCACAGCTAATAAGACACATGAGGATTCATACTGGAGAGAGGCCATTCAAGGTGGGTTGGCTGTACAAAATTACATTTGAAGCATTGTTTTCTGTTAGATGTTGTGTTTACTTCTTTTGATTTCTGCTATTTTAATTCTTATGACGCTTATTGAAGAGCAATTCATAAAAACACATTTTGGGGAGACATAGGTTCATATTCAGAGTCACTTAGGATACCTGAAATGGAAAGCTGGGCCGGCCTCTCACACCAGCCAATTACTATTGAGACAACTTAATGGTTATTGGCTGACTGGCACAAGAGGCTGGCCCAGATAGAAATCATAAAATACAGTTTAGAAGTCATTACCATAGTGCGTCATTTGTCATGTGCACTTGAGTTGTTGCATGATACTGAAGTAAAAGAATGCAAATGGAAAAATTGAATAAGACAAGTTATTTACCTTGATTTACTTTTTAGTGTACTCACCCTGGATGTGATCGAGCCTTTAATCAGAGATATACGATGCTCATCCACATGGACATACACACTGGCAAGAAGGCTTATAAATGTGAATTCTGCAACAGAGATTTTGTACAAAAGAGTAAGTCTCGTAGATGTTTCCCTTTTTGTGATTAGTACTTGGATTTTATGATTGCTGGCTTTTGTATATGTTTTTTAAAGTAAAATGATAATTATTGTCACTCTGTTATTATTGTTATTTTTATTATCATTTATCTGTTTATTTATTTTCCAGGTAATTTGCGTTGCCACATAAAACGCGTCCACCCTGTGAACTTAGCTGGTGTACAAATGTTTGAGTGTGATGAATGTTCATGTGTGTTTAAGAGCTCTGGAAGCCTCAGTGCCCACAAGTCAAGGGCACACTCCACAGAAGCTGTCATTGTAAGAATATGTTTTAAATTATTTTATCTTTTTGTGCCTAAAAAACAGAAACTTTCTTATCTGGTTAACTTTTTTTATACAGAAAAGTGTCTTACATTACATTAGATAATAAACTTGAACTTTAGATGTTTTTGAAAAGTAAGTGCATTTTATTCCTGTATATCATTTGATATCTTTGGCCTTTATTTATTCTTTATTTCTTTCCTCTATAGGGTTTAAATGTATCATCAGATATCAGAGATGTCATCAAGGAAATCCTAGACTTGGAGAAAACTGGCCAGCGAGAACAGGTAGACCAAGCTCAGTATTAAAAGTGCATAAGTTCATATTTGTATTGTAAAATCTATGCAGTGTGTAATTTTATGAAAATGGGTCACACACGTATACCAGATGTACTTTTTCCTTATTGTATTTGAATTGGGTTTGAAAATTGTTGGAAAACTATGTTTTATCCATATATTCTGAAGGCTGATCACCTGTGACAGAGGCATAAAAATGCAGAATTACAGAGGTAGTGCAACATAGAGCAGCCTCAGTTGGTATTGCATGTGTAGGTGTCATTTTGTATATTAGGATTTTATAGGGATCTTGAAAATGATATTTAAAAATACAGTGTTTAGAGAAATTTGAAATTGATAATTCTGTGTAGCAAAATTACTGCCTTGTTGAATGCCAGGGGGGATTGTGTGCAAATAAGGGTGCATAGCAAATCTTAATAATATCAGTCTGCCTCCCCTTGACCATAACTCTTCCTAAGGTCTCACACTAGTTTTTCACTACTTATTTGTATTGTTTTGTATTTATGTATATAGAAAAGTAATATACAGTTTTATTATCAAACAAAATTAAGCCAAAAACATCTTGTCATCTTTAAGAAATTGCATACAAAGCATGCAGCCCACCCATGCCTACAAGCAGCCAATACCCAGTGTGTTAATGTTGTTGACATTTAGATTGTTGGGAGGTTTCTCCAAGTAATGGTAGGAATGCCAGGTGCTAGATGTGATATTTCAGTAAGATGATATTGGTAAAATAGAAAAGGTATGATATTAGAAATAACAACATATATTTCAAGGATGTGATGTAGACTTTGTTCCATTATTAGATTTTTATTGAAGAAGCATTTAAAGAATACATGATATGTAGGCTCAAAGTACAATGATTACATAATTATTTTTCTACCTTTAAATTGCAGTTTGTAACATAAACAGATTTACCTCAAGACTTGACAGAAGTTTTAATCTCTAATATAATTTTCTTTTTACAGGGCATCAGATCAGAGCAAGGGGGGCTTGCAGAGAGTGGGAACGATGGGGATATATTACAACAAGCTTTAAAAAACAGTGGACTGTCACAAACAAAGGATCAGACCAATTCAAGTAATTCATATATTGGTTTGTATAGTTTTAACCCATTAATACTGGTACATGCCAAACCCAGTGTAGTTGAGTCTTGTCAGTTTTTTCAGTTTTTTTTTTTGTTGATGTTATTGTTCTTGTTATTACGATTGTTATTATGTAATTATATTCATTATTACCATTGTTATTATTTGTAGTAGTAATAGTAGTTGTTGTGATAAGGATATCAACATCATTATAAGATATATATATATCATATACTATTATGTAAAGATTCTTGTCATCTTCCTTTCAGTGGGCAAAGTTAAAATGGAGGCTGATGACAGAATACAAGATGATGACAGCTGGATCACAGGGGTCCAGAATGCTGCTGCTAAGATAAAGGAGTGTAAGAAGCTGCGTGTGATTACTCTCATCGACAGAAGCAATGAGTGTGGCATGAAGTGAGTTGTTATGGCTTTTGCACACTGATGATATTGATAGTACCTTTTATTAGTAATACTGATAGTAGTAATGAAGTCTTTAAAGTTGTTTTTAATGACTCTATTTGTATTAATTATATAATTTTGATAACACAGTTATTGCTTAATGTAACAGATTAAAAGAAGTGAACCTGAGACCAATATTGCAGACTTTTATGAAGATCCAGGTATATTTTCGCTTGAATATAAGAAAACGATTAAAAAAAAATGGAAAGTTGTTCTCCATTATATGTGGCATGGCACATTTTTTGTGTGAGATGGTCTTAACCATGCTATGTAGTTTGCCTGCAGCTCTGACTTGAGGCTCTTGTATACAAAGGCTGATGTTTTCTTACATTTACTGAAGTAAGGTATAACAATAGTTGCTCTTTGGCAGGGTCTGGTTGTGAGACCAATTCTTCTTGACTATAATGAATATAAAAAGAAAAAGAAAAAGCCTTGTATATTCTTGATAAGGCACGTTCTTTCCATTCAACATGCTCTAGCTTGCCATGATGCCTGTAGCTGTACCTGGCATGATGAGTCGGTTTGTTATGATGGCTATAGTTATGGCCCAGCAAATAGGGATTAATTAAAAAACTATCTGATCACTGTCTCCTTCAACCAGATTTAAGCTCTTGTTGATTAATGTAGTTTTCTTCTACACCAAACCAAGATAAAGAGATACAGGTACTAGTGTGTTTTTCCCACTATCTGCAATTTTGACTGCATCAAATATGATTTTTCCGTAAAAGAAACTTTCTCCTCAGTGATTTCATGCAGGGCCATATGAAATAGAGAGAGCTCAGCTGAAATGGCATGGATACTTGCCACCAGACAAACGATCTTTGTACATCACAGCAAGAATAGATGCCATGCGTCATAAAGGGATTAATTATTAAAGACCACACCTCTTTCATGAAGTTTCATACATGAACTTCTTTTGAAGCACTCTCAATATTTTAAAATGTTTCTAAATTATTATTCTTTTTATTAATTTCCAGGAGATATACAGTGTTTGTGAAGATGGTTGGGGATGTCAAATGGCATGTTTGCAATTACAAGGACTGCAGCAAGGAGTTCAAAAAACCTTCAGACCTTGTGAGACACATGAGGATTCACACAAATGATAAGCCATTTAAGGTAATTATAGCACACTTATAGTTTATTAAGGGCTGATAATTAGATTACCATTTTTATTCTGTTAAGTATTGATAAAATATTCTGACTTCAAAAATGAAACTGTGACAAAGACTCAGTAGTTACAGACAGTAATGATATGCTCCTATACAGTGTAACAAGTGCTACCGAGCCTTTGCTGTGAAATCAACTCTTGTGGCCCACATGAAGACTCATTCCGCTGTGAAGGAACACGTTTGTGACAAGTGCAACAAGAAATTTGCCACAGCCACCTCCCTCAAAGTCCATTCTTGGTAAGAATACATAGCCTTTGAAGGATCTGATCATTAAGATTACCTTTGTTTATATACTGTAGGTGATTGTGATTACTTTTTTTCTTTCTTTCTTCCTTTCTTATCTTTTCTTTTGATAATTTAATTAGTTAATACAATTTCATCTGGAGGATTAAAGGGACAGTAGAATATTTGAAAATGAGTTCTCTCACTTGTGTCAGATATTTTTTTTAACCCAGTTTTCATTTGTGTGTTTATTCAAAGTGTATGTACATGATACAAATTTTGCATGAAATATTAACATGTAGTTTTTATAGAGAGAGGTATGATAGTGTATGGGGTTGAGTATAGACAGTACTTTGGTTTGATACAATACTTGCTTTGGAGGAAAGTATTAAGCATTATTTTATTAGTAAATTACAATCTTACATAATTATCTCATCAGATGATAATATAGACCTATGTATATCGAGTGTTTACTTTTATTATTCTTCCCTTTAGGCTACACACAGGACAGAAGCCCTATCCGTGCCAACAGTGCCACAAGGTGTTCCGAACTGTGTCCCACCGCAAAACACACATGTTGTCCCACATGCACTCCCCTCATCGGCAGGCCCAGCGGCGACGGTCAATCCCCCTACCGGATATCCCCCTCCAGGAACCTATACTCATCACTACTGCAGGTCTGTTATGTGGTAGTCTTGGATTATATGATAAACCTGTCTTTTTCTTGTACCTCCACTTTGTCTTGTTTTTCTTTTTCTGCTAAAGGTATTCTTATTCTTGTTATTGTGGGTATTTTTGTGCAGAGTTTCTTACTTTTTTTATCATAGTTGATATGATCATTCTTATCCTTAATGACTTCTAAATGTATAAGAAATAAGTCTTCAAAAGATTTTGGAATTCACACCCTGTAAGTCCCATAGAAAGCGAAACATAATGAGGGTAACATAAAGTCAATCATATTGAAACTCCTCCATTTTGCCACAACAGGTCCTGTAAAGCAGATATCTCGACACAGTCAGGTTTACTTTCCTGAGACAGGGGAGGCTCCACGTGACCGGCCCCACAAGTGCCACTATTGCACGGCGGCCTTCAAGAAGTCATCGCATTTGAAGCAGCATGAGAGGACGCACACTGGGGAGAGACCCTTCCAGTGTGAGAGTTGCAATAAGTAAGTTTTTGATTAGAGTTTTGTCTAAGATTTTGAAAGGGGGAGGGCCAGAGAAAATGTTATCTATTATTTTACAATGTAGATAAGTAGAATAAAATCATAGTAAGAATACTGGAAGCTAAGGAGGAACTTTCTAGTTCAGTTGCTACTATGTTGATTTTTTAAAAATCATTTTTTAATTTTTTAAATTATTTTTTGTTACTATTAGTTCTGTTATTATTGATGTTTCATTATTATTATTATTATTACTATAGTTATTAGACTTTGTAGACAAGGATTTTAACAATATTGAGTGACTCTCTTGCAGTGCAATATCAAAACCACAAGTGCCATCATGTACCTGACAGCTGTTCATAGGACAAAATGTCTAGTGCCAACTATGTGTTGACACCCATTTTCATTATTGTTTTTGTCATTACTTTTTCACTTTTATATCATTGTTTACTTTTTCTTCTTTTGTCTGATAATTAAAGTAATAATATGGGTATAAAGACTTTCAAAGAAAATTAGTGTAATGAACAATCTGTTTTATTACAGGCAGTTTAATTCTCTGAGTGTTTTGAAATCACACTTCAAAACACACACAGGCCAGAGAACACACAAGTGCACAATATGCAATGGTCTCTTTGCCACAAGTGGAAGTCTGAAAAGGCACAGAACTACACATTCAACGGTTTGTAGAAGTTTTTCATTTGTCTGATTATTTATTTTCATTTATCTGTACTTACCTAGCTCACTGACATCTTTCTTTAGATGTAACGATGGAAGTGGTTTAGATCAGTTGCGTGCTTATTAGAATAAAGCATCATGAAGTAGAAATGATTTTGTAATTCTCAACCAGGACTTAAACTAGATCTTAAACAGTGTATAAAGAAAAAGGAGTTGGTTGGTGAACCTAGTAAATAAATCTAATCTTTATTAAATTAGTTTAGGTGAATATTTAAAATGTAAATAACTTCTTGAAAGAAAGCAATTTGAATGAAATAAAGGTGAAAAGAATAGCTACCAATTTTTTTCACATAGGCAAAGTATATAGATATTGGTATAATCATGTTGACAATGAAGGAGAATGTCTTAAATCCCCCTTTCCCTGTAGGACCGTCCATATATGTGCCCCTACTGCCAGAAAACGTTCAAAACAAACACAAACTGCAAAAAACACATGAAGACTCACAAGCAAGAGCTGGCTATGGAGGCAATGAGGGCAGCTGGGTCAAACCTGCAGGGCAACAACCAGGCACTGCTGGCAGCCACTCTCTACAGTCAGCAGGCAGCCACTCCCTCCCTATCTGACTCGGACGTCATTGTTCCTGACCTCGCAGGTATGACCAGCGTTTTCCAGGAGGGTGACTTTCCACTCTCTGGTGATCTTCAGCAGCAAGCACAGCATCAGCATCAGCACCAACAGGAAGATCTCTCATCGTCTCAGGTGAGGTGGAAAGATTATAAAATCAGTAACTGCCTTTTTCTTTGTCTTTGTCTGTTGTGGCCTATGTGTTATTTTTTTTTAGTGAGCTTCTAATGTACATATGTTGTCCATAGGACAAGGACTAGTGATGTCAAGTGCAGGTGTTTTAATTCCTTTAATAAATCTTTTCTACATAAGTAACTTAAACCAAGAAAACATTTTATGTCTTCAGGTTCTTCCAACTTCATTCACCCAAAGTGTTGGTGAAAGTGGTCTTACTCTGGCTGACCTCCAGACTGGAGTGGATCATGGTCTTGGGTCTGGAGAGGCAGTCATCCTAACCTCTCAGCCTGCAACAATTACAACACATCTAGGTGGTTCCTCAGTTCTTATACCTCAGTCATCTGCATCATCCATCCTGCTTCCAAATTCCTCTGCAAATCAGGTGAGCGGTGCAACACCCCTCCTGCAGGGGGCAAGTGGCACATCAATTCTCCAAGGCAGCAATGGCACTTCCATCTTATTGCCACACTCAGCCTCTGGGCAGGATTCAGGGTCGTCATTACCAAGTGAACTCTCTCAGGAGAATGGCACAACCATCCTGACCATACCTAATTCCTCTGGTGGGAGTGTTTTGACCGTCCACCAACCATCTGTGATACAAGGACCTGCAAGGGAGGATTCAGCCAATGTTACCTCAGTGATTCAGGCCCAGCCGAGCATCCTGAGTGAGTCGGAAAATGCTCGTTATGCTACCTCACTCACCTCACGGCAGGCCATCCTGGACCACACCCAGGACTTCAACAACTTGGGTGATCCTGGGGGTCTCGACATGGTCACAATCCCAACATCAGTGATGAGTGAGAACACCCAATACAGCTCACAGGTCATACAGACAAACCTGCAATTGGAAGGTGGTCGAGGGGCTGTTATTACAAGTGCAAGCAACGAAGTCAATTCAGGTGAGGGATGATGATCCAAATAGCTTGTTTTGCTCTCTTTTCCTACTAAATTAAGGATATTTTTACTGGTAAATTATTAAAACCAATGGCTATGTCATAAAAAGTTGCTGAAGATGATACATGAATGATATTTTTTCTCCATTTTAGAAAATCTTGGCACTGGAGAATCTAGTCTTACGGGAGAAACAATGAATGCAGCAGCTGATGGACTGGCCAGCACCCTGGTCGAGAGTGACGACGAGGGGAGAGTTGTAGCCTCGCATCCTACCTCAATCACTGAAAATGATGCCTCGTCAACAACTTTGTTAGAGGCCAACTTTGATCACCAGGGATTTTCGGATGGATTTACTTTGCATGTTCCGGTATGTTACTTTTGTATCTGTACCGATGTTCTTCTAGTTTTTGTATTTTGTATTTTTAAAGACTAAGTTGCACTAAATTAGGATACAATTTTGTTTTTAAGATGTACTAATGTATGTTTTTCTTATATTTAACAGGCTGGGCTAGATCTAAGTGGTTTAGGAAGTGGTGGAGATATCGCCTCAGCACAGCTAGTCCAATTGTTAAACACACAGGATTCAGTTAATGATGTTACAGGCATTAAAATCACAAGTAACTCCTCAACAGCTCAGAACTCTTCAGAAGAGGACAAGGCTCCAGCACCTGAGGTCTCAGTTTCGAAGGTGTTTGAGTGAGTACAAACCAGCTTTAACTGTCTTTACTATGTCAAAAATTTCCCTTCATCCTAGAAGTTAAAAGATTTTTGTATCTTGTTAAAGATTATTACGTGAGTGATGTATTAGAATTTTCACAATACTTATCTTTTTGTTATAAGTAATTTCTTTCTTTCTCTTTCTCTCTCTCAAAAAAAAAAGGTGTGATCAGTGCAAAAAGACGTTCCACAAACTCCCTCACCTGCGGTCACACAAAAGAATTCACACCCAGGGCAAGGCTCACAACTGTACAACATGTAACAAGGGATTTTCTTCATTGCAAGCTCTTAAGGTATGCATTGTTACTTGTTTAGATTTTTATTCTTTTATTGGATATAATGATCCTAATAAAGATATTGTGTTGCACTAATATCAAAAATAATAATTCACCTATATAATGTTGCAGGAACACCAACAGCAACAGCATTCAAGATCAAACATGCACCACTGCCAGTGCCATAACTGCCCTGAGAAGTTTAGCACTCCTAATCAGCTTTTGAAACACATGCAGATGGAACATAATCGGTAAGATTAAACACTGGTTGAAATTTTAGCTTTATGTAACTGTCCCAATAATAGTAGTGGCTTAATTCTTCATTGTTTGATATCTTATTGTAGACTGATGATATAAATGGCTGCCATTGATATTTAGAATATCCCAAGGGAAAACTGTCTAAGTAAGTCATTACATCAGCTCTTTGTGATTAATATTTTCTATTTCTTTTCCAGTATGTGGCCGTGTACTGTGTGTGAGGGTCTGTTTGAGTCTTTTGCCACATTCCAGAAACACTTGCGATCTCACAAGATTAAAGATATCAATCAGGCTATTAGCAGGAGTAAGGTAGGTGATTTTTTTTTTGATTTTTTTATTACAATTCCTGTTTTGATTTTTGCCTCAATTCTAATAATGGTAATGTAGATACAGAGAAGTTTTCACCCTCAGATCAACCAGATCTGAATTTGGCAGCTTATTGTAATGTAACTAAGATTTTTTAAATGTTCAGTGATCATTTCGCTCATGGATTTTACAGTTAACCATCTAACTTAACAGACCTTTTGCATTTGCATAAATCAAATCACTGCTCAGTCATAATCAAGTTAAATCAATCCTTCCAATACAGCAAAACCAGCGCAGTGAGGCCAACAGTGCAAGTAGCAAGGTTAAGATTGCATTGACAGCAGAGGATGTGGAGACTCTACTTCAGGAGTCATCAGGTACCCAGATGGCTATAGAAGAAGAGGGCCAGAGGGACTCAGAGATGGTTGACATCCCACGCCCATCAAAGAAGCACAGCTCGTCACAGGAGGACAACCTGCAGGTCTTTGTCAGCATGACGAAGGATGACCCTGATGAGGAAAAGGTGAGAATTTTTGTTTGCAGAGTAGAGATTTACCAGTGCTTTCCATCTTCCTAGCCCCTTCTATCCATTTCCTTTACTCAAAGATATCTTTCAATAGAAATTAACCCAGTCAGCATGGATGGCAAGAATTTTCCCACCAGTTCAAGGAATAAGGAAATAAGGATCAGTCACTAGGGCATACTGCTAGACTCCCTTGCCAGCTGAGCACATGTGGAGCTATCTGTATGTAACAAAATTCACAAAAACTACAGGAGTCAGAACATAAGTCCATGGGGGTTGGGTTAAGTTCCAGGTTTGTGTGATGAATAGAAAACCCTAGCTGTTGGAATGTGAAATGACCATTTCAGGGCCAGATCCAGGGGGGGGGATAAACCCCCTATTTTTGGCAGAGTAATGATTTTTTTAGACCAGGAATTTTTTTTACACATCATCAGGGAAAGACGTGGGATATAGGTAGGAAAAGTCCCAGTCAGCAATAGAAGGGATAATTGATAGAAACTTTCTATCCCACTTAGGCTTCATGCCTTCGGTACTCTCAATTGTCTCGGCTAGGGTTACGTCCCCCTTTCTAACAATCCTGGATCCGGCCCTGCATTTAATGATAACTTATGATTTTGAAAGCGGAGGCAAAATTTGTTACCAAGCTACCATTCCTTGTTTTTGATAGACAAATACATACACATGCACGTGCCCACATGTATTCACTCGCTTACTCACGCTCACTCACTCACTCACTCACTCACTCACTCACTCACTCACTCTCACTCTCTTTCTCTCACTCACTCTCTCACTCTCACTCACTCTCTCACTCTATCAAGCACTCTCTCACTCTATCAAGCACTCTCTCACTCACTCTCACTCTCTCACTCATTCACTCATTCACTCACTCTCTCCCTCACTCTCTCTCACTCACTCTCTCAGTCTCACTCACTTACTCTCTCAGTCTCACTCACTCTCTCAGTCTCACTCACTCTCTCAGTCTCACTCACTCTCTCACTCTCTCTCTCTCTCTCTCTCTCTCTCTCTCTCTCTCTCTCTCTCTCTCTCTCTCTCTCTCTCTCTCTCTCTCTCTCTCTTTCTCTCTCTCTCTCTCTCACTCTCTCTCTCTCTCACTCTCACTCTCTCACTCTCTCACTCTCTCACTCTCTCACTCTCACTCTCACTCATTCACACACTCACGCACGCACACGCACACCCACACCCACACACACCCACACACGCACGCACGCACGCGCACACCACCCCCACACACCCCCACACACCCACACACACCCACACACATCCACACACATCCACACACATCCACACACATCCACACACATCCACACACATCCACACACATCCACACACATCCACACACATACACCCTCCCTACCTACCTACCTACCTACCTACCTACCTACCTACCTACCTACCTACCTACCTACCTACCTACCTACCTACCTACCTACCTACCTACTTACCTACCTACCTACCTACCTACCTCTATATATCTGTATATATATGTATATGTAAATGTATTTCATTTCAAAAGTTTCTCTTTTAATTGATTGTTACAAACTGCAACTAAAACATTCCCATTTGTGATTTTTTATATTCTTGTTTGTTTTCTTCCCCCAGACTGAATCTCAAAAACATGCACATCAGTGTGACACCTGCAGTAAGAGCTTTAAAAAGCCGTCAGACCTGGTTCGCCATATTAGGACTCACACTGGGGAGAGACCCTTCTCCTGTGCACAGTGTGGCAAGTCCTTTGCTGTCAAATCCACTTTGGATGTTCACATGAAGACACACTCAGGGAAAAAAGATTTCATGTGTCATATTTGCAATACTATGTTTGCCACCAAGGGAAGCTTAAATATCCACATGCGACTCCACACAGGTGCAAAACCATTCAAGTGCAACCACTGTGGAATGAAATTCAGAACATCAGGGCATCGTAAAGCTCATGTGATCAAGCATTTCAAGCACTCAGGAGCAGGGCCAATACCTACAAAGATGAAACTAGTGGAAGAACAGCCAATGGAAACCTCTGTGAACAGTGCAAACGAAACTGTCATGGAAATGCCAAACGTAGAAAACTTAAATTCAGTCGTAGTGATGGCAGATGGCAGCATGTCATTGCAGTTACAGGGGCTTAATCTGGGTCCAATTGAGGCAACTCTACTCAACACCCAGTCGATGACTCTAGATGAAAGTGTGCTCAGTCATTTACAGGCTGCAGGTGGAGCCATGATTGGGACAGGTGAGGGTACTGTGGACGAAGATGCTGAGGACTCTATTTCTGTAAATCCAAATGCTGTGATGACTCAGCCTCGCAGTGTCCGCACCTCAAATGCTGAGGCTGACATGGACTCAGATTTCGAGATACACATGATTGACGATGATGGGAGAGTGATAACCACCCACTCATTGAATATAATTGGTCAGTCATTGGACAGAGATCAAACATCAGCCCCGGAGAATCAAAATTTCATCCAACAGGAATTAAGTCTTTCAGACCTAGCAGTGTCTGGGCCAAACAATACAATTCAGTGTGCTCTTTGCTCTAAAAACTTTTTGAAGTTCACTGAATGGCAGGCACATTTATCATCACATGATATCTTGCTGAAGGAAACTGATGATGGAGACAACATTGAAGGTGATATGCAAGACACTGTTGTTGTACCAACCACCACTCTTGCAGATACACAGGAGATAAACATCCTCTCACACCCCAACATAAAACAGGAAGAAATAAGTATCGAAGAACTCACAATCTGCAAACTGGAAGATCAGACTTTGCCATCACGTGGTTTCAAGTGCCGAGCCTTAGGTTGTGGGAAGATTTACAAGTATCAGAGTAATCTAGAACAGCACATGCTCAGCACCCACATGAAACAATACGAGTGTTCCAGATGTGATGGGCAGGTGTTCCCCTCTGCTGCTGCTCTACAGCGACACATTAAGTTGAACCATGTAGAGTCTAAGGGTAATAGGTGTGTGTTCTGTCCTGAGGAATACAGCTCAAGAGGCTTATTGCACCAGCATATTATCCAAGAACACATACAGCTGGTCTTGGAAAATCCCCTTGCTATAGAAAAAGTTGGATTGAAGATCAATTTAACCTCAGAACCCCAAAGAGAAGGTTCGGCAATGGGCACACAGAGCACAATGGAAGAATTGGATGCATTGGAACTTTTTCCATCAGTGAATAATGCTACGCACCTCGAGTAAAAGAATATGGTTTCCGAAAGTTTAATTTTCAGAACTCTGTAGGGATGGATTCTGAGTCTTCCTTTGCCGGACTTGTAAATTGTTTATTTCCACTGAACTTAGAAGTACAAAACCTCAAGTTAGAAAGTTGAAATTATGCATCCTTGTGTGCATAGTTTGAAATATCCTTGACTCACTCTCCTTCCCTCTCTTTCCATTTCTCCTTTTCTATCCTCACCTGGTTTCTGCCTTTTTTTATATTCTTCCCTATCTGCATCCCTCTCCTACTGATCTCTCCATTCTCTCCAGTACCATTTTTTCCTCCTCTTCCTCTTGTTAGTCTCCTTCATTTCTTCAGTATCTTTCTCATTCTCTCTGTTTCTCCCTTCACAGTATCTTTAAGCCAATTTATGGAAGTAGAAGAGTATTTTCTATATATACTGAAAATAACAAAGGAAAACATAGACAATGCTGTACATTCTTAGAATTAAGATTTCTGTAAACTATTTATATTATCTATATTTGCACTTGATCTTTCAATTTTATTTTATCTTGTTTCTCCAAGGTAACATTTCCCATGTTCTGTAGTGCAAGCAAGTAGCCTTCAGAGATTCTATTTTTATACCAGTTTTTTCAAAAATGTCTGTAAACAAGTGATGCGAGTACTTGTTTGCTGTATTCTTAGAAAATAATTGATTTTATTGTAATCTTTCTTGTATTGTTATTTTTTGTGACAATATTTATATACTGAATAGCATTTTATATTTGCATACTATCATATTTGGTTAGTATAATTCAGAGAAAGAATTTTGACCCTTGAAGGGGCCCAGGTCAAAATTTGTCACTTCTTTTCTTTACCATTTTATTATTTTTCTTTTTTAAGATTAAGTTCATAGACGTATGTCAAGAAGGCTGCCAGTATGACATGTAACTTTTTACAACTCAGTATAAACCAAAGAATTGTATAAAGCTGGAAAATATCTTGACATTGTAACCCCCTGCGATGAGACTTCAGTACAGTATGTATATTGCTTTGAAAGTGAGAGGATATGTACCTTTGCTTTTATATATAATAGATATGCCTAGATTATTTTTTAAGATGTACTTAGGCAGTTGTATGGCATTTTAGCAGTTTTAACTAGCAGATTGTTTTTATTTCATTATCATTATTATTATGATTATGGTTATGAATTTTTATCATCATCATCACAATCATTATCAGCATCATCACCACCACCATCATCACTATCACCACCACCCACCACCAGTATTATCATTATTATTATTATATATATTTTATTATTATTATTATTATTATTATTATTATTATTATTATTATTGTTGTTGTTATAATTATTATTATTGTTATTATTATTATAATTATTATTTTTATAATTACTACTACTACTACTTCTACTTCATCATCATCATCAATAACAACAACATCAACATCATCATCATCATTATTATTATTATTATTATATATTTTATTATTATTATTATTATTATTATCATTATTATTATTATTATTATTATTATTATTATTATTATTATTTATTATTAATATCATTATTATTATTAATATCATTATTATTATTAATATTATTATTATGATTATGATTATTATTATAATAGTTATTATTATTTTTATTATTATTATTATTATTATTATTATTATTATTATCATTATTGTTATTATTATTTTTTTATTTTTTATTTATTTATTATTTCTTTTATTATTGTTATTATTATTACCATTATCATTAGTAGTAGTAGTAGTAGTAGCTTTTGCTCTTTTTATCACTTTTATTATTTTGTTGTTATAATTAAAATTATTAGTATTAGTACTAGTCCTATTACCATTACTATTCTTTTATTATTATTATTTTTATTATTATTATTATTATTATTATTATTATTATATATATTATAATTATTGTTATTATTAGTATTATTACTGTATTGTATTACTGTTATTATTATTATTATTATTATTATTATTATTATTATTATTATATATTATTATTATTATTGTTATATCATTATTACTACTATTATTATTCTGTTATTACTCTTCCTATTACTATTGCTATGGCTATTACTGTTCTGTTACTCTTACTATCACCATTATCATTGTCATTATTGCTGTTGTCACTATTACTGCTACAACTACTACTACTATTACTATTATTATTATTATTATTATTATTATTATTATTATTATTATTTTATTTTTCATTATTATTGTTGTTGTTATTATTATTATTATTATTATTATTATTATTATTATTATTATTATTATTATTATTGTAATTGTTGTTATTATTATTATTATTGTCATTGTTATTATTATTATTTGTTTATTATTGTTAGCATTTATAATATTATTATTAGTATTGTTATTGCTATGATCATTGCCACTTTTGTTATTATCATTTTATTTGATTAATTCTTTCACTTCATTATGCAATGAATGCCTTCATTTTGGTTTAATTTTATAGTCATCTGAAAAGTAATGTTATCTCACAAACTACTTTTTCATTAATATTATCAGATTTTATAATATCAGAAGTAGATGTTTAATGCTACTATAATGTTAAAAAAACATATTTTTATGTAATTGATAGCTCTCAATTATATCAGTTTTGTATAGTAGGTTAAAGAAGCTGAAGAAAAGATTAAAAAGAGCACATTTTCTACCATTATGTACAGCTGTAGATATTGTACAAGTGTAAATAATGTAAAGTATGTAAATATACTTTTCATAGTTACTTTCAGTATTCACCTTATGGACTTTGCTCAATGTCAAGGATCTCATTGTCCAGATAAACAGGTTTCTTTTTTTTTGGATTTTAATGCATTGAGTTTGACCAATAAGGCTTTTGTCTGTGTGTATGTGTGTATGGTTGTGTGTATATATATATATACATATGAAAATCAAGAAAGATCAGCCAGAGTGACCTTACAATACCTTCACTATATACCTATATTACTACCATTACAATTGTATCAAAGAAATCAAATGTAAAGGTTAATTATTTATTTATGATAAAAGGGATATACGTTCATACATTACAGTTATTACGGATGTTACTAACAAAGTAATTAAAAGTACCAAATATAACTTATACATTTAGCTTTAGATATGATGTGTCCATCATTCATGTACTGCAGAGTATACATAACAGATATACATTAAAATATTGTATTTATATTAGTAGTGTTCTTATACCCTCCTGTATTACCCAACAATGGTGTAACTAGATATTTTGGTGTCCAGGGACTAAGTCTCTTGAGGGGCCCTTATATCTTATAAGTTTGATAAAAATGAATTACAAAATGAAGACATCTTTTTATTTCAGAAAGAGAAACATTATGAATTAATCATAATTAACCCATTGCCGCCGGTGATGGCATGTACGTACATGCCATGCCCGCTGTGAGTCGACTTGTTTGATTGTTTTTACACATAGATGGCTACACTTGTACTAAGTCACTAATGACCCAATTACGTATACTGCCTGTCTCGCCCGTTCACCCTTTTCATCAATTTACGAAAATATTTAACGTTTTCCTAATTTGTTGTTAAAAATAACACCATCTCTATTTATAGCACTAGTAAGAATATGTTTATTCCTGCCAATTCAAGGAAAGGTGAAATCGGGTCTAGCAGAGCCATCTATGTACAGAGATATTTCACAAAAATATAGAAAATTAGCATAGCATTTTCCCCATTTTTTGTTCATTTTCCCCAGCAGCAATGGGTTAACAAAGAAGTAACACATTTTATGTTGATTAAAAGTATGGTCTATAATGACCTGAAAATCAATCATTTGTGTATAGATTATAATCACCTATTGGGCTATCAACAACAAAGAGAGAGAGTGTGTGAGTAAGTGTGTGTTTGCATGCGTATGTACTCCCCTCAATCCCTTGCTCATTGCCATGGGGAGGCTTGAGAAATGAAGACTGAGGCCCAATGTAGGGGATCACCCCTGCCTTGGTCCTCAGCCCATGCCTCAACTAATTTTGTATGGTCTTTTCTTCTCCTCCTTTCCTTTTCCTTTTCTCTATCCCCTTGTTCTGTCCCCTCATCCTAATTGTTAAAGTCATTTTTGCTGTTTTTGCCACAGTACTTTATCATACTGCTCTCTACTCTTTTAACTCCTTCTAACAACCTCTACAGTATACTATACCTCGTCCACCCTTTTTGCTACCATATTACCCTCTAGTATTGTTAACCTATAACTTTACCCTTTTTGCTACTCTAATTTACCAAAGCACCATAGCAAAATTATAAAGGAGGAAGGGAGTGGAAAGTGGAAAATCTAAAGGAGAGGGTAATGTATAGTTATGACTAATCAAAATTTACAACTTCTAGTTATTAATCCTCATACTGCAAAGGATGAGCTTTATGAAAATAATATTTATAATTTTGGTTACTGATTACCATTTTTCGTATTGCAGTAGTGTGTGTGTGTTTACATTAAAAATGGGATGTTCGGTGAGTGTATTGTGTATATGCCCATTATGGTATCAACTTTCAGATATTCAATAATAGATTGAATGGTAATCAAGATGCCTCACTGGGACCCACAGGAATAAAAGAAGAGAGAAAGAAAGAAAAATATGATTATCTAAAACTGCATTCTTAGTTGCTCATTGTTGTGGGGGGATTTGGGGACAGATTGAGGCCCAATGTAGGGGATCACCAATACCTTGGACCTCAGCCCTTACCTCAAATTTTGCATGGTCTTTTCTCCTTTCCTTTTCCTTCTCTTCTTCATTCTCTTCAGTCCATTTATCCTAGTTGTTGACTCATTTTTACTCTTTTCACCAAAATACTTTTATCATAATGCTAAACTCAGGGCTTTGCCCCCAAGCCCCATCCTATCACTGCATTTTGAATACGATGCTAATGACCTTAGATGTTGATGTGGCAGAAACTTTTCAATAAATAAATGTTACAGGAAGCATGCTGACTGAATAGATCCCCTGGCAATTATTTCTGTAATCCAACCATTATTTGAATTTAAAGCATGTATTCTCTTCAGTTTCATGAAAATTGATATCAGTCCACTAGAAACTAATTCAGTGCATGTCCTAAATTTATCAATGAAATTACAAATGAAAAGATAAAAGTTCCAAGAACTTTTCAATTTCCTCTACATTTATAATACATTATAAAAACAATGGTTAATGGTTATATGTAACAAAGCAAAATATATGTGCTAGACATCAAATATCATATAGAAAGTTGGGGGTAATTGATTATTAAATGTGCTACATGTTAAATTGTATAGCAATTCAGTATAGTATGGCGTTGGAAGGGCAGGGTAGAGAAGATGGGTAAATGGGCTATGGTTCTGATTAAAGGGTGATTAGATCAAAATTGTTAAGGAAGTGTGGATTTCTGTAAGGATGTCTGTAGGGTATGGTAGGGATTAGTAAAATGAGAAAGGGGGCTTTAATGGCAGTTAGATCATGGTTTCAAGAGAAAAGTGAGGAGGGAGAGAGTCCAAAGAAGAGGGTTGTGGCAAGAGTCAAATGTGTATCCAGGGGGAAAGTGGAAGGGATAATGGGGAAGGAGGGGGGATGATGCAGCTGCAGCAAGGGGGATTGTGTTGGGAGGGAGTGGGATGAAGGGACATTGGGGGAACATGAGTAGGAGGAGGATGGAGTGTAGAGGGACTGGGCACAGAGAGATAGGAAGATGGCTATGGTGTAGGCACATTATCTAGGGTCATGACTAGATGGTTTAGAATATCTTCAGGAGTTTCTGAAGTGGATTTGGTTTGGGAGGTCTGAGAAACAAAGGTGAAGAGGGGAAGAAGAGGAGGCAGACATTTGAGGAGCAGAGGGAGAGGTTGGAGAGGATGCAGTAGGATGGAGTAGAACATTTAGCTAGTCTTGTGTGATGAGTTGAACAAGGAGGAAGAGTGGTAGGTACTGGGGAAGTAGAGATTGGAGTGTCTGGGATAGTGGTAGAGATTAGGGTGTCTGGATTTAGAATGGCAAAAGAATTTGACAGGTAGGGGGAAGAGGTAGAAGTGGGATGAGGAAGAGATATTGGAGGAGATGTAGAAACATATTGGAAGGGAAGGGGGAAGGATAGAGCAAAGGACAGTACTGGAGTAGGGAGTAAGAGAAAAAAAAACCTCATCTGAGTGCTTCCTGGCTGGCCGTGTGTTAAGCGAGCCAAGTGTGAAACTGAGATGTACCACCTCAGATTCAAATGTAGGTAGGACAGCCCCTATAAAACATATTATAGGAGCCACCACAATTGGCACATGTGTGTGATTGTGCAGAGCAGTTTGATCATGATCAGGTTGAGCACATTCTGACAGAGACATTTCTGGTACAAGTACTGAGGGTGCATTGGAATGGGTTTGCCAGTCAAGTCAGTTAGGGTTGATAATGCTTTAGCTTGGGATTAAGATATAGGGGAGGATTGGGGTGGCTGCATAAGGATCTTTGGCTTCTTGTTTTTGGAGGTATTGTTGGAAGTGGAGAGTATTGCCAGAGTAAGGGGCTGTAGAAGGGATTATGAAAAATTGATCCCATTCAGCTGGGCTAAACAGAGTATTCAGAAGATTTATAGAGGTAGGGGTAGCAGAAGGATGGGGACATGTCGAAGAGGGAGATGGGGGTTGTAGATGAAGAAAATGCTGGGGTTAGAGGAGATGAAGTAGAGGATGTTGGGAGAAGAGGAATGTTTCCTACAGATTGTGCAGTGAAATGTTTAGATAGTTTGGCCTGGACTGAGGTGATAATAAGTACTGAGGGGGGAGGGGTAGTGTTCAGAATCATGGGGTCAGAGAATCAGGAATTTAAATCTGTGGGGCTAGTTGATAAAGGGGCAAGCCTCAGTGCCCCTAATAAGGGTGCAAAGTCTTCATTACTAGCCATGGTAAGGCTGGATCATGTTGGGGAGAGAAATAGTACATACCTCAGGGATCCCTTGAGGGATAAGACAACAAACTAGGTAATACTGTGCCCATGGCTACCCAAGATGTTAATGACTGACACAAAGTCAGCTTTTCATCCTGTCTACATGACTCTCACACCTTAGGAAATAGACAGTAGAAGGGGTTGGAGAATGGGTAATGGTTAAAAGCAAATAAATGTGCTAGACATCTAAGGTCACGTAGGAAGGTATAATATTAGAAAGGGTACAGAATGGGGTTGAGAACAGTCTAGAGTAGTATTGGAAAGCTAAAAGATGGGCAAAGGAGTTGATGAGTGAATGGGTTAAGGTAGGATTAAGTAACAGGGATTAGATCAAGTGAAGGATATGTATGAATCTGAGGAAGGAGAATAGGTTGTCAGAACAAAATGTATGGGATTCCGGAAGGATGTCTAACAGGTTGGGAGGTCAGTGAAGGGAGGATAGCTGAGGGAAAGCAGAGGTACAGGCTGCAGTGGTGGACAGGACAACAGAATGTGTGGAACTGAAAGAGGGACATTACATAGGGAACATAAGGGCAGATCAGAATGTGACATCAGATAGGAGTGTGTAAGGAGTGTGTGGCCAATACGTAAGTGGGCGAGAACTGACTCCAATGTCTGTTCTGATGAAATGGAGTTGACCAGGAGGAGGTTGAGTTTTACAGTATATAATTTATTAGTGTGAAGACTTGACCAGAAATATTGCCATCGGGTATAAGGGAAGTTCTTAAAGTGGGGGTTATGGTGCATAGGCAAGTAGAAGGGGCTGAAGTAGAGAAAGAAACAAAAAGGGGAAAAAAAAGACTTTCCTTTCATCCCTTGAACATGTCTCTCACCCTTGGGATGTAGACAGAAGGGGTTGGGAAAGAGAAAGAAAAAGAGAGGGAAAGAAGAAAAGACCATGTGAAGTTAGTTGAGTCGAGGGCTGAGATCAAAGGGTGATCCTCGGCATTGGGTCCCAGTCTCTGTCTCCTAAGCCCTCCATGGCAACTATGGGCATTGGATTGGGGAAGACTACAAAAAGAAAAAAGGAAATAAAGAAAAAATCAGTGGGGAAAAATATTCTCTGTCCCTTCTATAGGAAATAGAAACATGAACACCAGCAACTCCCTCTTACTTCTTTCCATGTACACATCAAACCTCTTCATCATACAGTTCCATAACACACTATTTAAATTTGTTGTATATAGCTAATAGCAAGTTAATACAGACTTATTTTTTTTATAATTATTATTAAATCATTTAATGATCTAGAGGACATTAATTCTTCTAAAGACCAAAAATTATGTGAATGATTAAGAAACAGGTACTATTATATGAATAATTTATTGATGGACTTTCAATTTCCTTCAAAACAAGCAAAATTACTGTAAGTAAACAAAACAAGTACAACATATACTGTCAACTTCTTCCAGACAGTATCTTGTCAAACATAGAAACATATATCATGAGAAGAACTACAATACACATCCTTTTCAATGTACTATTTACAAATGCATTCAAAAAGTATACCAACAGAAGCTAATTTGAATATATCACATTTAAAGGAAGGGAGAAGCTGTTTATTGTGGAGGTACAACAGGGTTTATATTTAAAACTTGAGAATAATACTTTCTTACTTCCTAACAATGCTTTGAAGTAATAGAGCAAAATGACACTAACACTATTTTTTTTTATGCAAATGTACAGATTTCCTTATTTTCAACATCTTCCAAACTAAGTTCCAATTATATCATCTGTCATCATTCACTAACTTTCAGTAATATCAAATTCTTCTACTTATATTGTAAAAGTTAAAATCTAAACATTAAATTCTTATACATAAATATGAAATATAAAAATACATCCAGCAACAATCAATCAAATTAAAAAAGAATAGCAAGTCTAATTATGAAAAACATTTTTTTTTTGAAAAACAGTAGCAAACTTTACTTACTTGTATATTCTTTGTACAAAGTCTGATTATGAAAAGCATTTTCTCTCAAAAAACAGTACAAACTTTCTTTTTTTTTATCCATTGAACAGTACAAAATTCTTGACAAACAGTTCAAATCACCGAACAGTAAAACAATCCTGTGTACACCTCTTGTACAAATAAGATTTTACAAGTGTGCATACTGATGGAGTGAGAGAGAGGAGAGAGGAGAGAGGAGAGAGGGGAGAAGGGAGAGAAAGAAGAAAGCGGAGAAAAAGAGAGAGAGATAGGAGGGGAGAGAGAGAGAGAGATAGGAGGGGAGAGAGAGAGGAGAGAGGAGAGAGGGGAGAAGGGAGAGAAAGAATAAAGAGAAAGAGAAGAGGGAGAGAGAGAGAGAAAGAGAAGAGGGGGTGAGAGAGAGAAAGAGAAGAGGGAGAGAGAGAAGAGGAGAGAGAGAGAGAGAGAGAGAGAGAGAGAGAGAGAGAGAGAGAGAGAGAGAGAGAGAGAGAGAGAGAGAGAGAGAGAGAGAGAGAGAAGAAAGAGAAGGGGAGAGAGAGAGAAAGAGAAGAGGGGGTGAGAGAGAGAAAGAGAAGAGGGGGAGAGAGGGAAGAGGGAGAGAGAGGGAGAAAGAGAGAGAAAGAGAAGGGGGGGTGAGAGAGAGAAAGAGAAGAGGGGGTGAGAGAGAGAAAGAGAAGAGGGGGTGAGAGAGAGAAAGAGAAGAGGGGGTGAGAGAGAGAAAGAGAAGAGGGGGTGAGAGAGAGAAAGAGAAGAGGGGGTGAGAGAGAGAAAGAGAAGAGGGGGTGAGAGAGAGAAAGAGAAGAGGGGGTGAGAGAGAGAAGAGAAGAGGAGGTGAGAGAGAGAAGAGGAGAGAGAGAGAGAGAGAGAGAGAGAGAGAGAGAGAGAGAGAGAGAGAGAGAGAGAGAGAGAGAGAGAGAGAGAGAAGGGGAGAGAGAGAGAAAGAGAAGAGGGGGTGAGAGAGAGAAAGAGAAGAGGGGGAGAGAGAGAAGAGGGAGAGAGAGGGAGAAAGAGAGAGAAAGAGAAGGGGGGGGTGAGAGAGAGAAAGAGAAGAGGGGGTGAGAGAGAGAAAGAGAAGAGGGGGTGAGAGAGAGAAAGAGAAGAGGGGGAGAGAGAGAGAAGAGAAGAGGGGGAAAGAGAAAACGAAGAGGGGGAGAGAGAGAGAAAGAAAGAGAGAAAGAGAGAAAGGGAGAAATAGAGAAATAGAGAAATAGAGAAAGAGAGAGAGAGAGAGAGAGAGAGAGAGAGAGAGAGAGAGAGAGAGAGAGAGAGAGAGAGAGAGAGAGAGAGGAAGGAAATGATGAGGAAGACTGGCAGAGACAGAGAAGGGATAAAGGGAGAGGAAGAGAGACAGAGAGATAGAGAGACACGCACAGAGAGCTGTATGTGAATGCCAAGTTCTCACATCCCAAAACTACAATCAAGAATAAGTCATGCAACGAAGAGAGTGAAAGAAAGCAACATTCAGAGATGTAAAATAAGATTTTGAGTAATAATTTATATGAAAAGTTAAGTATGCATATATATATTTACAGAAAAAAAAATCAGTCAGTGGGCAAAAATATGAGATCCTTTGGACAGCAAGATTGAGAATATTTCCCATATAGTATTTACAAAGGACATTTTATTGTAAACTGGCATAAATTTAGCCTAAAAGGATTATCAAGTAACTCACAAACCTTCATGTTTCAAATAACTTTACTTTATTCCACTGCACATAAGAAAGACATGTCATCTGTATACTCTAAAATTACTTTGATAAGTATTACTACACAAATAATTTAATCAAAATTCTAAGTTAAATACAATCAAATGGATGGTCAGTATCTGTTGGAGCTTTTCACTCTGTCTTTCTCATACATTCTGAAACTTTTGTACATATCTGTCTGTTGAAAGGACAAACCCATATCTCAAGAAATGTAATTCCTTGGCCAAGTAAAATATTGGATAAACTAAACTTCTATTTTTACAGATAAAGGATCAAAAGATAAAAACAGAGTATTAATGGATTCATTTTGCTGAAATCAGGTGTCTCAGCATTCTTTATTTTCTTATAAAAGAATATTTAAAAAAGAAAGAGACATCTATAAGATATATCAACAAGTGACAGTTTCTGGAATATAAGTATGGAAATTAATAAATAAAATGATACTTGTTAAATGAGAATGCATACAAGTATTCATGCAAAATATAATCAGCAGGCCAATATCCAATCCTACACACAAATGAATTCTCTTTAACCTAAATATATACACACATCAAAGTGAACCCTTCTCATTAACTTGCTTTACTGTTTATACTCTATATAATATAACTAGATTTTTAGAGTAAAATGAAAGTGGTAGTCATTTATGAAATGTTCAATTTCATTCATTATAAATTTAGAGTAAATTCTAGGCATTAAGAAAGGCCAAACTCATAAATTCCAAGTTTTATACAAAAAAATAATCCTAAATCTCTTCTCTATAAAAAATTCCAAATAGAATTGTACAGAAAAACTGAGAACAGCTCAGCAGTCCTTCCCTCTCCCTTCCCACACAAGCTGAAACTAATGCCTCCGAGTAAAGAGGCTTTTACTTCTTATTGAGCCTGTTGTGTACTATGTCTCTGAACTGGGTCAGGATCTTGTTCTCTCTCTTCTGGCGCTCCTCCTTGCTGAACATGGCCAGGGCCCGCTTCTCGTCCGCTGAGTAGATCTGGTTCTCCTTTCGCAGACGCACAGCCTCCATGCGACGGTGCCTGCTTCCACTCATGACGTAGCCCACTTCCTCGAACTCCTTTATCTCGTCTGAGGTCAAGCCAATTTCACCACGACGGGGTATACGCTTGCCTTCTGCCACATATGCTGCCATGGCTGCACCTTCACCTGGTAAGAGGGCCTAAGGAAAGGAAAAGCGTCAGAAAAGGAAAAAGGACGACAAAATATAAAAATGAACAAGGAGAGTCAATTTCTCTAAAAAGAATCAAGTCACATGCATGTGTTTGTTTCTGCGTGATTTTTTAAAAAATAACTAAGTGTACCAGTGAATCTTTTTAAATAAAAAAATAAGAGAAATGTAAATTCACACTCTCAATTTTGATCTTCTACACCAAGTATATCATCAAAAACCCTTAATTACCTAAATGCAAATGTAACTAACCTTGCCATAGTCCTTCTTGGACAACGTTACTTGAGGCTTTGGCACTGGACCCACGACAACTTCTTCCGTCATTTCCCCTTTGCTGTCCTCTGTAAAACAGGTTTTGAGATTATATATATATATATATATATATATATATATATATATATATATATATATATATATATATATATATATATATATATATGCATATTGCCATTAATGAATGGTTCCTAATCATATCCATGACACTGAAAAACGCCTTCTGTAAACTCACTCTTCTTCTCAATCCATGTCAACTCAGACTCTGATTCCGAGTCAGAACTGGAAGACGAACTGGAGGAGACCTTCTTTTTGGCAGCCTTCTTCTTCTCCTTCTTCCTCTTCTTTTTCTCCTTCTTCCGCTTCTTCTTCTTTTCCTTCTTCTTCTTCTTCTTCCTCTTCCTTTCATCTTCTGAGTCACTACTGTTCTTGTCCTTTGTCTTCTTTTCTTCATCTGTGTTCAGTTCATCTGAACTGATATATAGAAGAATTCTGGGTTAACCCAAAGCTGCTGGGAAAATGCTATGCTTTTTTGTGTGTGTGTGTGTGTGTGTGTGTGTGTGTGTGTGTGTGTGTGTGTGTGTGTGTGTGTGTGTGTGTGTGTGTGTGTGTGTGTGTGTGTGTGTGTGTGTGTGTGTGTGTGTAGACCTTGTGATCTTACCTGATTTCATCTTTCATTGAATTTTTTACAATTGCTATGAATATCAATGGTGTTATCTTTATTGTAGACATTATAATTACTGAAATGTTATAAACATTCGTAACAGTAAAATAAGATTACATAAAATATTTTTGTTAATCAAGGAAAAGGGTAAATGGGCAAGACAGGCAGCACTAGTAATTGGCTCATTGGTAATTTAGTTCAAGTGTAGCCATCTATGTGTAAAAACAATTATTAATTTGTTAAAGTAAATAAACGGTCTTTCTGAAGTTCCAGCAAAAACTATTCTGATTTTGTCTATAACCTGCTGATTCTAGTAGTCCTACATGAAAAAATTCTTCACTAAAAAATAACTGTAATTTAGTTAAATTAACAATCAAATTCTGTAATACTAAATAATTCCAGCATAAAACGGGAAATGCAAATAGGTTTCACATTTTGAAGAGAGAGAGCGAGAGAGAAAAATAAATCTTTACTTTCTTCAAATAACAGCATGTCTTCATTTCAACTTGAATTTGGTAAAAGTCAATACATACTCATCTGGAGGGTTGACTGGAGATGCTGCCCAAACTTCAGAAATACCTTCTATTGATATCTGCTCTCTTTCTACTCTGCGACGTCCAAAATAGTCATCAGTCTGGTCACCTAACCCATTATGACGGCTAAATCCTCCACCACCTGTGGTTTGCAAGAAAGTATTGAGTATAATAAACAATCCATAACAAATATGCAGAGTCCAAAATGTTTTGCTGTTCTGAATAAATCACAAAATATTATTCACAGAAGAAACTTGTCTGTGCATACCTCTATCCCTATATCCGCCATTTCTGCTACTGTCCCTCATGCCACCCATATCTCTGGAACTGCCTCCGCCCCTCTCTCTATCCCTCTGGAATGGTGCTTCAAGAGCTCTCTGTTGCTCAAAGAATTTGTTATGACCCCATCTTCCATCAGGTGTTGGTGGGGAGTTATCTCGATTCCTCCGTGAATCTAGGGGAGATGACTGCTTTTTTCGGGGTATCTCCCTTTCGTGTGATCTTGACCTCTGTCTCTCATCTGAGTGGTTTTGACTGGACTTTGACTGATGTTTTTCTGGTGTCCTTGCCCTTTCTCTGTCCCGAAGTTCTCTGTCGGCTGAACTTTCTTTTCTGTTATAAATGTCTCTGATTCTCTGTTTAGTCTCAGACATTGAACCTGACCTAGACCTTGACCTAGAACGAGAACTAGAATTGGCCCTTTTTTCTGCAATTCTTCTTAATCTTTGTTCCATTTTCTTACTTCTATCCATCTCCCTTGACCTTATATCCTTATCTCTTGACTTGGATTTTCTTCCTCGATCTCTTGAGCTAGACCTACGGCCCCTGTCACGTGACCTTGATCTCTGTTTCCTGTCTCTTGATCTTGATCTCTGATTCTTGTCCCGTGATCCTGCCCTGAAATTCTTGTAATAAGCTTTTGATGTTTCATTTTTGGCAGGTGACCTTGATCTTGATTTCTGCCATCGATCACGTGACCTGGACCGACTCTTCCTTGCATAGGCTTTGGGCTTAGAGTGCCTATCCTGTGACCTCGACCGATGATTTCTTGTGTGTGAGCGCGATCTGCTCCGGTATCGTCCTTGATGTGAACCTCTTTGCTTCTTGTCAGATTTGTGGCTGCTCCTCTCTCGCCTGTCTGGGCTTGAGCTTTCTTCTTCACTGCTACTGTATCTACCCATTATACCTGTAGTTGGAGGAAAGAGAAATTTTAAAATTCATTACTGGACAACAGGTAGAAAGAGACAGAAAGATAAACAGAAAAGGTTATTTCTTTAAGATAGGAGATTTCTCTATGACTTCGGTTAGGTCTGAGTGCCTGCACTCAAGTTCATTGTCTAGTTATAGCCCTACATTTAACACATGAAAAGTTTGGCTGAAGGCCAGGGTGATGGGAATGATTTGCCATGAGGGCACAAAGCTCTAGATGGAAGATTAGGCTTGGGATTTTAAAGAAGGAAAAGCTTTGACATGAGTGAGGACACTATTTCCATGCTCAGGATCCAATTCCTGTACCACATGTGTTCTGTCATTTAACCTCTTCCCGACGGGTCTCACCATGAGGCATTAAAACAAACTGCTCTGTCTGTAGCATGCGGCTGTACGCCATAGCGGCGTGCTAAAGCACTACGAGCCGGTGATTCAGCTTGACGTACTGAACTCCCGCACTCAAAGTCGGTGCGTTCCTATCAATCTCCAGAGCGTAGAGTTTTTTAACCCCTTGGTGCCGGGTGACGCCGATCAATGTGTAAACAAAGCGCTCGAAAGCTGGCGTGCAGCGAAACGAGCTGGCGGCGCACCAAAGCGCGGCGAGCCAGTGATTCGGGCTGATGTCCCCTACTCACGCGCTCAAAGTCGGCGCGCCACCTTTATTTGCTTAAGTGTTGAGTTTTTTTTTTTTTGTTTCTGTACACCCGGCGCCATTGGGTTAAACACTTTCTTCACCCGTCATCAAGGGGTTAAAAATGACATAACAAAATGTTACTTAAAATCAGTGTTATTGCAAAGATCTGAAGACTACCTACAGAGATGATATAGAGTCTATGTCACTTAAAACATTCTATTACAATCAAATAACAAATACAGACCTTGGAAAATGACAAAAATGCTTGGAAAAAAAATACAGAGATAATAAAATTGCAAAGGGAAGGAAACCACACAGAAGTATTCATGTAAGCTGGGTTACAAGCCACACGCCAGGAGAGTCGCCACTCCAGCAAGCCCACTGCTCGGACTGAGACACGTGCGGGCAATGAGGCACCAGACCCAGTGGGTTAATCGTAGTCCTCAGAGACTCCAGCAGCGGTCAACCAACCTCAAGCATGCCCATTCATATAAAATAATTTAAAACTTCCCTGGTGACTCTTCTTTAATTAAGAAACACACTAAAGCTCTACCTTGTCTGAGCATCCATGGTACAGTTTGATCTATTTGTCAGACACTAATGCAAATGATAACCTGGATCTAAAACCAATACCAAGTTCCATTCCTTCCAGCAACGAACAACCATCGTACAAATTTACCATTAATAATCAAGTAAATGACACTCACTTCATATGACGACCAAGGATTTACCATTAATAATCAAGTAAATGATATTCACTCCATATGACGACTAAGGATATCTAATGAGTTATATTGTCACTAAACTATCCAGTGTCATTTACGTGTAGTTTGCTTGTATTCTACGTCCTACAAGCACATGTTTTTTTGCTTTCAAGTGGAATATCTTAAGAGAAAAGTCCCTCTTTCAAAACTTCTCAAAGACTTCTACTATAAAATATATATCCAGGAATGCTTATACACCCTAAAAAGAGCTTTATATTACCTGCACATACATATACCGGCCAAAAAGAGGTAAAAAATCGAAAAAAAAATAATCACTCGCGTTCGGACGAGAAGAGTAAACACATAATAACACTAACACACTACGGACATATCTAAAAAAATAATCACTCGCGTTCGGACGAGAAGAGTAAACACATAATAACACTAACACACTACGGACATATTTATTAATGCCTTGATTCATTTACGTTTAGCAAAATGTTTGTTTTATTTATACATTGGCTTCAGCATTTGCGTTTTGAAGTACGAAAAAAACTTCTGTAATATTTTCAGGTCTTGTGTTTTACATTGCTTCAGGAAAATATTATTAGGTTCGTAATCCTTTATCTTCAAGGAAACGTTCTCGGGCGATTATTTAAATTCCAAAATATTTTCTTTTTTATGAATATTGTTTTATATAAAGAACTTTCATGCTTTAAAGGGTAAATTAATAAAAAATGAGTTTTGGTATAAGAACACCCCCTGAAGATGATGTTAAATAAGCTGACATTTTCTAGCATTTTTCTGTCCAATGAACAAGGGAATTTTTGGGAAAGGGAAAATAAATGTTAAATATTTAAATAAATACCATGCTTTTTAGAGTTAATCTTATTGAGACCGTTTAGTCATCTGTACGACTTTCATCTGAGCAAAAATTGTTCTTTATAATAAAGAGTCTCCCGTCATCTAATGCCTGTTCTTAATTTCTGTTACGTAAAAAGAGAGTTATAATATCGCCTGGTATGTAAAAAAAACATGAAGAAAAATAATTCTCTAAGACCGCCTCTTGTATATGGAGTAGGGAAAATTAATATAATTAATTATTCTAAATTACAAATTTGCCTTCAATAAAACCCGGAAAATAATTTCAAATATAATTTGCCATGTAGTAGACATACGTGAATAACAAGCACGAAATAATATTTCATGCCACTTTATTTACACTGTAATAATTTGGTTAACTAGAAAGAATTAATTGCATTAGAAGTACCTTGTTCCCTAGAAAGTGAAAGGCAAGCGCGTTCCATTCCACTCGCTCGCCTTATTACTCATTACAAACACAATTCACGCTCTGGAAATTACCCTTAACATAAAAAACATAACCCGAAATCAAGAGACATCTCCTTTCTCACTCTAAAATTTACTGTAAATCCCTAAAAAGCGAAATTGTAACACGTGTAACCTGTCAAGTCACCGAAAATGGCAGACGACGTCACCGGAGCGCGCTGGAAGGGTGAGCCTGAGGACTTCCGTGTTCAAAAAGACTAAAAATTCCCAATACCTGTATCATTAGTCACTCGAAATGGCTTTAGGTAGGTGATTTAAGTGTTACTGAAGCCCGTGGCATGAATTAGAGCGTTGGAATTGTTGTGTGTAGTGGAATATTTATAATGACAGCGGCTGATCATCACACTGATAAGGACAGATGTGGGACCCCAAGGCAGGTGTTTCTGTGGCCATTTTATGATCAGTTTGTGTCGCTGCATTATTATTATTTTTTTTTTTTTTTTTTTTTTTTTTTTTTTTTTTTTTTTTTTTTTTTTTTTTTTTTTTTTTTTTTTTTTTTTTTTTTTTTTTTTTTTTTTTTTTTTTTTTTTTTTTTTTTTTTTTTTTTTTTTTTTTTTTTTTTTTTTTTTTTTTTTTTTTTTTTTTTTTTTTTTTTTTTTTTTTTTTTTTTTTTTTTTTTTTTTTTTTTTTTTTTTTTTTTTTTTTTTTTTTTTTTTTTTTTTTTTTTTTTTTTTTTTTTTTTTTTTTTTTTTTTTTTTTTTTTTTTTTTTTTTTTTTTTTTTTTTTTTTTTTTTTTTTTTTTTTTTTTTTTTTTTTTTTTTTTTTTTTTTTTTTTTTTTTTTTTTTTTTTTTTTTTTTTTTTTTTTTTTTTTTTTTTTTTTTTTTTTTTTTTTTTTTTTTTTTTTTTTTTTTTTTTTTTTTTTTTTTTTTTTTTTTTTTTTTTTTTTTTTTTTTTTTATCCTTTATCTTCAAGGAAACGTTCTCGGGCGATTATTTAAATTCCAAAATATTTTCTTTTTTATGAATATTGTTTTATATAAAGACATTTCATGCTTTAAAGGATAAATTAATAAAAAATGAGTTTAGGTGTAAGAACACCCCTTGAAGATGATGTTAAATAGACTGACATTTCTAGCATTTTTCTGTCCAATGAACAAGGGAATTTTGGGGAAAGGGAAAATAAATGTTCAGTATTTAAATAAATACCATGCTTTTTAGAGTTAATCTTATTGAGACCGTTTAGTCATCTGTACGACTTTCATCTGAGCAAAAATTGTTCTTTATAAAGAGTCTCCCGTCATCTAATGCCTGTTCTTAATTTCTGTTACGTAAAAAGAAAGTTATAATATCGCCTGGTATGTAAAAAAAACATGAAGAAAAATAATTCTCTAAGACCGCCTCTTGTATATGGAGTAGGGAAAATGAATATAATTAATTATTCTAAATTACAAATTTGCCTTCAATAAAACCCGGATAAATAATTTCAAATATCATTTGCCACGTAGTAGACATACGTGAATAACAAGCACGAAATAACATCTCACTCCACTTTATTTACACTGTTATAATTTGGTTAACTAGAAAGAATTAATTGCATTAGAAGTACCTTGTTCCCTAGAAAGTGAAAGGCAAGCGCGTTCCATTCCACTCGCTCGCCTTATTACTCATTACAAACACAATTTACGCTCTGGAAATTACCCTTAATATAAAAAAACATAACCCGAAATCAAGAGACATCTCCTTTCTCACTCTAAAATTTACTGTAAATCCCTAAAAAGCGAAATTGTAACACGTGTAACCTGTCAAGTCACCGAAAATGGCAGACGACGTCACCGGAGCGCGCTGGAAGGGTGAGCCTGAGGACTTCCGTGTTCAAAAAGACTAAAAATTCCCAATACCTGTATCATTAGTCACTCGAAATGGCATTAGGTAGGTGATTTAAGTGTTACTGAAGCCCGTGGCATGAATTAGAGCGTTGGAATTGTTGTGTGTATTGGAATATTTATAATGACAACGGCTGATCATCACACTGATAGGGACAGATGTGGGACCCCAAGGCAGGTGTTTCTGTGGCCATTTTATGATCATTTTGTGTCGCTGCATTATTATTATTATTATTTATTTTTCTCGTGATGGTAAGGCTTCTGTGCTCGGAATATACCTTAGTTATTCAGACGTGCGAAATAGGGAAAGGGAAGAATGGAATTTTGATGAGTGGTCGTGTAAGGATGTCAGGAATGCGAGGATTTCAGACGTTTTAGCATGGACTTTGATGCACTAGATTTGTACTTCAGAATTTCAGAGATTTTGTGTAATGCTGTTCTTGATTGTGTGATTTTTTGGAAGTATCCTCTATGTGTCATATTTTTGGGTTTGTTAAGTTTTAGTTGTTTTTTTTTTGTGTGTGTCATAAGTGTGGAATTTATTGCAAGAATTATTATACCACTTTATTGATCTTGAAAGGTATTTTGTATTGCTGTCAGTACTCTGATTATTGCTTATTTCTTTCTATTTTTATATATCTTCTGAGATTTTTCCTGATGAGGTAGTGTAGTAAAAAAAGAAGAAAAAAAAAGATAGAAAAAAAAAATATTTTGTGATAATGATATCTTGTGAGTGCCATGTTTTGCAACCAGGTGTTTGGCATCATACATATTAAGTTTCAAGTTTTGTTTAAATTACTGTCTAGTTATATCTTGGTTTCATGTCACAGAATCAGATTATCACCTACATACTTGTCAAGTACAGTGTTCTGACTAACCAGATTGCTTGTGGAATGTAGGTGATTACTTATATAAGACTTGCCTATAATCTTACATAACACCTTACTGTCACATCATTTATATTGCAGATCACTCAAACATGGGATAATGCTCTTTTTAAAATGATCTCAAAGCTCAGATAACTGCATCCTATTTGAGAACCTTTAAGTGGACTCTTAATCTTGTATATAGTGATAGGTGAAAACTCATTTTAAAACCTGCCCGACCTCCCCCCCAGGATACGTCTTCACTGCGGTATATCTGGAAAGATAGAGCTCAACCTCCAGAGCACCAAGTGGATTTAGGCCGTGAGTGGCGCCTTCCATGATCATTTTCCTTTACTTGTGGCATTATTAATTGTGACTGCAGATTATTTCTTGTATTGCTGAGAGCAGCTTTTTGTCCCCTACAATATATCATCTTCAATTTACCCTAGCTTAGTGTGACTATACCATAAAGGTTAACTGCTACAATTTTTGGTAATTTTTTTTTTAGTATTACAGCTGTCCAACCTTAGTTAATATTTCTTGTTTCAGTTACTTGTGGTGTAATATGCATGATCTGTTGTTTTCTATTGCTGATGATCTTAGTGAAAGTATTGGTAATTGTTTATGAAGTCCCTTTTACTCAGGCCACTCCTGGGGATCCAAAGACATTGCTGTATGAACAAAAAATCCTTCTAGCTTGGGAGCTTTCCCACCAGACCACACATTATAGCTGTATTTCCCCATTGGGATTTCTGCCCCAGGACACCCACCTGATTAGCATGGACTTACTCTGCGCAGCTTTTGTCATGACCTTCTTTATTTCTTACATTATTGTTTGCTTGCACAGATTATTTCATATATCAGTTTGTGTAGAGTATCCTGCTCTTCATGAAAATGTCATTTGATTTTCTCTATCTTATCATTATGTAAATGTATACCAAAGTATTACATTTTGCACAACTTGTGAACGAAATACCATGGATGAAATTGTCTTATTTTTTTGTCATTCTGTCCATTAAAGGCAAGGTTTACCGTGTACCATAAGGCTGTGTGAAACTGAAACTATACCAGATGTTTATGCAATGGAAATGTTGATTTTGACAAGCATGTTATTGGAAGGTCATACTCTCATTATTTATATAGCCTAGATATGAAGAAAAAATGAATATGGGGACCTTGGCTTTTATTGTATGTTGATTTTTAGGATATGACAAAAAGAATATATGAACATGTATTGAGGATAAGAGAAGTCTTAAAGTTGTTTCTGACAGCCCAGAAGCATTTTTCAGTCATTGTTTTGTTACATATATTCTGCTCATTAGAGGCAAACTGCTAGTAATTTGAAATTAT